AAATATGATTTGATTGTAATTGTGGTCTTTGCCTCACGCGCAGTGAGAGGTTGACGACCCATTGCAGCATTCAGGAACACTTCATTTAAGGAGAACAAGATGACAGCAATCATTTATTCAGCTGTATTTATTATTATTATTATTATTATTATTATTATTATTATTATTATTATCATCATTATTATTGGAATAGAGGTTATTTTCTAACCATTAGGCAGTCATGGCCTAATGGTTAGAAAGTCGGTCTTGTAACCCAAAGGTCGCGGGTTTAAGTCGCGGTACTGGCAGGGATTGTCGGTGGGGGGAGTGAATGACCAGCGCTCAGGTTTTGGAGCAGAGCAAATATAATTATATTTTCCCATCACACTGCTCCTATATTTTCTTTATTATTTGTTTTTATTTCACTCACCTTTGGGTCATTTCTCTTAAAACTGGTCCCTGAAGTGTTTACAATCCAAAGCAATCCAGTTTTTTGGTTTAAAGTGTATATGAATAAATTGAAAATGTATGAATGCAGCCGTAAGCGACAATCAGAGTCACGGCTATCTCTCCAGTCCTATCCAGTCATGAAATGACTGACAGTGAGGCTTGATTATTCCGGGATCAAGCTCCCTCGACAGACTCATATCCCACATAATCAATTATGCAGAAGTGTTGCTGTGAAAAGCAGAAAGACTCCCCTCTGTCCGCAGAGAGAAGCCCCTCTCTGACTGAGCTGACCGCATTACACTAGTGCAGCTTGTCCATTTATTGTTCAGTGGGCAATAATTCATGTGCAGTGATTAACTGAAGCACGGCTTTATGAAAGCAGAAATATTGTCAATCTCATGTGGGACCAGCAAACTGAACAGACCACCCCTTTATTTTATCATTACAAAAAAGATCAGACTTATATTTTGTGAAGAAAATGTAAAACTCACTGGGTACAGTACAGTGAGCGTTGCAAAATATACAGAAGGGCTTCATGCTAAAATGTAATACTTAGGGTTATAGTCAAGCAATATTGATAGTAATGCATGTCTTGGTAAACACCACTAATAATCATTAACAAATAAAAATCTGCGTTCATATATTAGTATCTAAATAGCCATTTATCAGTTTTATGATCCCTTGTGAAAAATAAGTTCACTTTTGCATACTTTTAAGTACACTTACCAAAAATAATATACTTAGGTGTGAAATAAATGTAATGTTTTCGGACACTGTGATTAAATGAAAATGAGTTATAACTGAAATGCAATTAACTGAACTATAGAGTGCTATTTGTAGGACTTCAATTAGTGCTGTGAAATTGATTAATCGTGATTAATCGCATCCACAATACAAGTTTGTGTTTACACAGTATATGTGTGTGCACTGTGTATATTTATATGTATAAATCCACACTCAAACATGTATATATTTAAGAAATATTTACAAGGATATATATTAATTTTCATATATGATTTATATTATATAAAAATATAAATATATATATTACATATTCTTAAATAAATACCTGTATGTGTGTATATCTATATACACAGTACATACACACGCACTATGTAAACAAAGTTTTATTTTGGATGGGATTAATCGATTTGACAGCACTAACTTAAATACATCTTAATATGTAATTTCACAATTATACGGTCTTTGAAATATGATTAAAGTGCACTGCTGAATGAACTGACAAGCATTTATGGTAAACTAAAATATACTTTCATTTCTATTGGAATCTGTATGTTGTGTATGATGAAGTTTAAAAACATTTAAAGGGGTCATATGATGCTGCTAAAAATAACATTATTTTGTGTATTTGGTGTAATGAAATGTGTTTATGCGGTTTAAAGTGGACATGGCGGCAGCGGCAACAATACTACAGCGAGAATAAAACGCCTTCTTTCTTTGCATGAACATTTGGGCGGCGTTATGCGAATCTTCCCAGATCGTGACGTAGGTATGTGGGGGCGTGTTAGAACGAGCCGTTTTAGGAGGGTGTGGTTAACTCTTAACTTTTATAAAGAATATCTCTTTGGTTTTGAGACTTTAGTGTTTGCAACTTTACAGATCTTCTTTATGCACCAAGAGCTTGTAACACTCCAAAGAGAAAGGAAAAATTGAAATCGCATCATATGACCCCTTTAAAATGTTAACTGTAATACTATAACATTTAAAATGTTAAATGTAATGTTGAATAACACATTACAGTTAAAATTATAATCAAGTACTTTAGTTAGCACTTCAAAATGTAAGTGTTGTGTAAAAAAATGTGTAAAAGTTTATTTAAAACAATGATTTTAAATGTATTTCAAAGTAAAACTTTGATTTGATATTATTAAAAAGTGAACTTAAGTGTTTTAAGAATCAGTCATGAATGAGTATACTTAAGTGATTGCATTACTTCTATTAATTAAATCTATTTTTAACATTTGAATTACTCTGTCAATAGAATTAAACACATTTTGTTCAACATTTTTAGTATTTACGTGCTGTAAGAAATTAGAGGATCCTTTACAGAGGGCAAATTACTATGCCCTTCATCACAAATGAAAAAAAAAAAAGGAATTAAAAAGCATAAGGAAACTGCTCCCTTGTGATTTGTTGATCTGGTTTATTTTTCCAGATTTAAGAACATATTTGCACGTAAGGTCCCCACCTGTATAATTAATGAATTGAAATAATTATGAATGCCGGAGAGCTGGTTCCGATACAGAAGTCCTGGAGCAAGTGCGGGCCTGACGCCAGGAAAATGTGCTTCATTATTTATTCAGCCTCTACCTCCTTCTGTTTGTCAACATCACTCAGATGGATCCTCATCCTTCATCCACAGACACGCGCCAATATCAGCGCCACGGGCTCCAGACTGCAAGAGCCAATTAAATCGTGCCGCACACTTAAATAATGTAAACAACAGATCTTATCCAAAACATTACGTTATAGACTATGCTTTAATGTAAGTATACAAATACAATGATCGTCCTCCACTAAAATCCAGATGCATCAGTGGGCAATTAGAGACACGCACAGAACAACAAAGACTGTAAGACAAATCCTGTTCTATTTACAGTGAAAAACTGCCAGTTTTGGCTGCCAGAAATTCACAATGTTTCAGGAATGATAATAAGTCACCTGTGTATTGATATTGAGTATTATGATAATATAATAACACATTTTAACAATTAAAATCTGTTTTGTACCTCACAATAAATACAGGTGGTTAATCAAAATAATATAATTAAGGTTAATCAATAATGGCCTTTCTACGATCAACAGCACAGTATTGGCAACAAAGATAAAAACCTCTTAGGGCAACAGACATGACACTAAAATAATAAAGTATTTATTTACTTACTTGCTTACTCGTTCATTCATTCATTCATTCATTCATTCATTCATTTATTCAATCCGAAAGTTGTGATAACTAATTAATTGACTTCATTGTGGCGATTTACCAGCTACTGTTCAGGGTTAAACAGAAACAGAAGAACACATTTTTAGACCCTCCTCAAATATCACATCATCATATTTCTTTATCTCTTCTATCTTGCGATTGATTAATTCAGCAGTCACCGGGGTCACCCATTGATAAATGGAGAATATTTAACATTTAACTGTTTAAAATTCAAAAGAAAATCTCATTTTGTACTTAAATGAAACCAATGTAGAGTTGAAGGCGTTACCCTAATGTTCATCAATGTGACCGTCCTACCATCTGTGATCTATACTTGAGGCCAAATTTGATGATTCAAGCACCCTGAACAGCTTTAATCAGGCCTCAGTCCTAACCCTAACCCTAACTAACCCTAACGCTCTCTGTTATGAATTGCAGTGCATTAGGACAGTATTGACAACTTGACTCGATAAATTGCAAAACACATTTAATCTATGTTGTTAAACAACTCATATGTCTCTGTTATTGACAAATCAAACTGGGTACAATTCTCGGAAGCAGATACATTTATAAACAAGATAAATAATGTTTTGTTTTACAGTAATACATTAATGATTGCTTTACCATAAAAAAAAAATATCACTGCAGGCTGACTATTAAACGTGGCATTCTATACTTATTGAACACAGATAATGGATGGATAGAACAATATCCATATATTCTCAAATGAATTAACTAATGAATGAACAAAAGATTTGGAAAGCACTATTCAAAACCAAAGACAGCACTTGTTAAGACTATATTGAATATACGTCTTGTAATCTGACACTTTGGCCTTGACTGTTCTCTCCTGGGACGAAGATCTAACCAACTCATCAACTAAGAGTCAATGGCTCTCTCTCTCTCTCTCTCGCCTGGTTCTCTCAGTCTATGTCTTTCAATTAATTCAGGTCAATGGCTATAATTAGCCTGCGGTTGGCAGGTGACTTCACATCAAACCCCCAGATGTGCTCAAATGTGCTACATCAGTGTCACTTGAAAGAGATGGTAGAAATAAAATAAAATCCCATCACAGCTATCATTAGCATGCTGTAACAATAGAGAAAACACTTTACCAGCACTCTGAAGATAATATAAATGTTGATTTAAAGTACACCGGACTGTTTTGAGACAAGCATTGCTTACGGTTATTGGTTAACTCAGTTTCTGATGTCTGCGTGTGGCTTCAAGGATAAAAAGCAAACTTCAGCTGTGATGATGAGGAAGGGATGGAACAACTCACAGCATAACCATGAGCATGATATTTTGCCCTGGAACACAGTCATAGCTTTAAAATCAAGAAAACTGGCAAAGTTCCTAACTCAGCTACTCCCAACCCCAATTCCTAAACCTAACCCTAAGATCTTAATGTCATTCCAGAAACCTGTTCTTGGCAAATCATGCTGGATGGACGTAATGGAAGATAAAACTTGACTTTTCTCCCACTCAAACTCAGAGACAGACCAACAAACAATTAAAATGTCTAGGGGATCAGATCCAAACATCTCAACCATCCGCATATATTCTCAAAATATATCTGTTGGATCTAACAGAGAACAGACAGTGACAGTAATGCTGGAGCTCTCACCTCTGTTATCCAGACTGTGTTTATGGTTGGCCTCTCCCATGCCTTTCCCCAGACTGTCCACACTGTGGGTGCCCTGGCTGCACAAGTCATCTTCTAGATGTGCTTTCCCATCTAGCAGATGTCCGGGCTGCTCGTCCTCTTCACAGTCGCAGTCGTCAAGGATGGGGGTCTCGCGGATGGGCATACCAATGACAGAGCTGTGCTGGAGGGGTCTGGGCCCACGGAAGCTGTCCCTGCTCTGCGGAGGGCCCAAAAGAATAGAGGGGATGTAGTGAATCTCATGCGTGGCCTCGGTGCTGGCACTCTTCTGAGGGGCACGACGACGCCTGCACCAGCGCTGACGGGTGTAGAGTACCAGCGTGAAGAGTAGGATAACTAACAGAAGAGCAATCAGACCACCCTGGAAGAGAAAGGACAAGAGAGAAATGTCAGAATTCCAAAAGAAAGAACATTCAAAGACTTTCCCCACCATGAACTATCCTGAAATTACATCTGCTCAAGACTCCATGAGGAGACACCCATCAAAAAAATAATGGAAGCATTTCTGGAGGCTGTAGGACAGGGGAGTCTAATCCTGCTCCTAGAGGACCAAAGTCCTGCACAGTTTAGCTCCAACCTGCCCCAACACACTTGCCAGGAAGTTTCTAGGGCTGCATTCCAGTCTGTTTTTTTTTTTTATGCCCTTCACTTGCAAACTTCCCTCCGTGTCGTTCACTTGGATGTACGTCATTGATTACGTTGCATGAGAGCCCACTACTGGCGGAACCCTTGGAATGGGCTGAACTGGAACGTCCTAAGCCCTTGATCACTTAGAATCTGCTATAGAGTTGGTTTATTGTTTACATTTTCCCCTTACAAATTTGTTTGGTGCAGCATTCTATATGTATATAGGCATGTTTGGGCTGTTTTAAATGTTTAAAAAAATAATTTATATATTATAGAGTTGTTTGGGGTGAGGATAAATTAAACGCGATCTGCGATGACGTTATAATCGTGTTGCATTGTGGTCTGTGGAGTGGCCTGAAGTGTGCATATGAAGCAGACTCGCTCCCTCGGTCAAAATCGAGGGTCTGTCCCTATAAACTTCCCTCGTTCACTTCACGAAGTGGAACACACTTCAAAATGGCAGTGGGGATTCCCCCGAGGGGAAGTTCTTAGGGAAGTTCGCGAGTGCGTGTCTAAAAGTTGAGTGGAACACAGCCTAGTAATTCTGAAGGTCTTGATTTGCTGGTTCAGGTGTGTTTTAATAGGACTGGAGCTAAACTCTACAGCAGAGTGGTCACCAGGATTTTGCCATGAAGGAGCTGCTCCTTTTTTTTTTGGTCCTGGAAAAACACTGCTGTTCTAACCCAGACTCAATCCAAACCCAAGCCATTAATCAACTCTAAATTCATAGGTTTGACATGAATGTTGTTGAAGTCTTGTGCCCAGGACAATCCAATCCTTAGACTAAAACTAAACATGTTTAGTAAATAGATTATTCATATTCTACTACAGGGATGTCCAAACCCGTTCCTGGAGGGCCACTATCCTGCAGAGTTTAGCTTCAACTCTAATTAAACACACCAGAAACAGCTATTTAAGGGTTTTAGACTCACTAGAAACTTCAAGGCAAGTGTGTTGGAGTTGGTTGGAGCTAAAATCTGAGGGATATTGGCCCTCCAGGAGAAGGATTGGACACCCTTGTTCTACTGGGGCAGGGGAGCCCATTCCTGTTCATGAAGGGTCAATGTCCTGCAATGTTTAGGTCCAACCCTAATTAAACACACCTAGACCAGGTTAACAAGGTATTGATGAGTGCTGGGAATTTCCATACAGGTGTGTTGGTCCAGGTTGGAGCTCAACTCAACATTGTGTTGGGCTTCTGCGAATAGGTTTGGGCACCCCTGTACTAGGACCAATAAGAACAGGGTTGTCCAAGCCTGCTCCTGGTGGGCCAATGTCCTGCAGAGTTTAGCTCCAAGCTACCCAAACAAACTTGTCTGTAAGTTTCTAGTAATCCTGTAGACCTTGATTGCTAGTTCAAGTGTGTTTGGATTAGGATTAGGGAAGATAGTGACCCTCTAGTAGCAGGATTGGACACCCCAAACAAGGATGTTGATCTTTTCCAATGTCATACATGGTGCATTCATGGCCAGATCAACTTAGCCTATCTCTAGAATCCATGTTGTTAATAGCTGGACCAACCTGGTATTTTTTAACTAATTTTGTCACATGTTGTAGTGATTTGTTATGCGAAAGATTAGCAAACAAATTTGCAGATTTTGGTATTTCCTTATGCAGGTAAGTAGCAGATGTACTTGGATGATTAGAAAATAGTTGCCAAAATTAAGCATGTATTTGGGTAAGCTACAGTAATACAAGATGCATGGCCACAGACTTCAAATGTTGCTCTTGTTTCACTGTCTTGTAAGGAGACACTGAGCTTTGCTTGTTGTTTGTCTAGCTTGAGTGTCTGGCCTAAAGGAGCAATACACATAAAACAGCTGAAGATTCATTGCTGCATGGTTTGTCTCATTTCATGGCGTGTCAGGGACATCAAAGATTTCTTCTCTCTTGAGCCGTTTCTGTGTAATACTCTTAAACCTGCAGTTGTGTTAAAGAGAGCAGTACTGAGCTGACAGATAAAGCATGCAGCGTAATATTTTAATTAACGAAAACATGAAACCTTATTTGAAACAATGAAATTAATACTAAGTAATATTGCATTCTGCTCTGTGCCATGTGTTTTCATGAGAGTTCCTCTCAAAACCAGTGTGACATGGAATTGTATATGGAATGTTATTGCTCAGAGGATGCTTATATATA